CCATCTGAACGTGAGATAAATCCATAATGGCCAAGAACGGAATACCACTTCACACGACCTTTGAGCCCAGTTTCTACAACCTAAACAAAGAATTAGTATCTTTGCTTGAAAAAAGATCCTGCCGGAAGTTTTACAGTTCTCTATAATCTCTTCCATACTCTTAGAAGGTCTCTCGATAATTTTGACTAATTTGTTCATTTTATCTTATCTCAGCATTCATAACACTTAACGACTCTATCATATTACGTAAACCGGATAAGAATATGCAAAATTCTTGAGTTTGGTTATCCAAATTGGCAATTATCAGCAAACTAACTCTGTAGTGCCTAAATGTATGTGCAGTGACTTGTTATGAAACCTAAGATCGCAATGCGTGGCTTATCAAAGCAAGAAGTTTGATAGGAAGAAGTTTCATATGGGAAAGCTGATAACGTTCTGCGCAAAGTTTAAAATCTTTCGAAGAAATTTTTTGACAACTAATTATTATCGGTAAGAATGAAAATCTGAAGGCTTTGATATTTAACTTCAGAAATTAACCATCTAAGTATATTCAATAGATTAGTGAAAAAATCAAAACTACTGGCTTCCAGGCGTCAACAACTAACTCGAAAAGAATAGAAGAGAATAAGATTTCAAAGCAGTCTAGCCTCTGAAGCTCAAATGATTTGCTAATACCTTCTTCGTCTTTTGTTCCTCCTCCCAAACACGGCGGCGTTCCTCATCCGTCATGCGAGCGAACTGTAAAATTGTACTTTAAAGCTTCTTTTGCTATTTCTTTGGTGAAAAGCATAACTTCTTCTTTCAAAGTCTCTTAGCACAAAACCTCTTACTACTCAGAGGTTACTAATGCCATGTCAAAACTTGAAGACGGACGAATTCGAAAATGAATTGTCATAATTCAGAGAAAACGGCCAACGAATGGTCATTTAGGGTAATGAAGCTTGCAAGAGCTTATAAAAGCCCACCATCCTGTTAGAATAAGATAGAATGTTATACTTAAAGGAAATTGCGAATTTTCAAAACCTACAAGGTAAATAAACACTTTCAGACTAGTTTAGTCCGTACTTGAGGAAAATCCACTCCGAAAATTTCTAGTTACGCATTTCTAAATATTAATGTACCTTACGCTCACGACGTTCGTTCTT